GGGGGGGGGGGGGGGGCTTTTTTGGGTTGGGAGCTGCTGACCCACAGAAAAAAAAAATCAGTCAGGGGATGCACACAAGTGAGAAGCAAACCTCCTCCCCAAACCCTCAATTATGTGGCCCCTGACTGAAGAGAAAGCCACCCTCCCATACATTCCTCTCACACATCAGAGCCTGGGGGCCCCAGCTAGTTGATTTTATGTGCTCCAGCCCTGTAGGAGGGGGACTGAAGCACCAGTGCAAGCTCCCTAATGCTGGTGGTGGGAGCCCTGAGCTTCGGAAGCCAGATGCAGGCAAGCCAGGGCCACATCCAGCCTTCAGGTCTTAGGTTCTCCACCCTGGTCTACTCCCTCTCCAAAATCCCTCCAGAGCCTGCACCTCTCACCACCTCATGCACCCTGATCCCCTACCCCAGTCCAGAGCCTGCATCCAGCACCACACTCCCTCCAAGAGCCTATACCCCAATCCCCTGCTCTTTCCCAGAGCCTGCACCCTCTCCCAACTCAAATTCCCTCCCAGAGTGAGGTGAGGGAGGGGTGTGGACTCTGGTCAGCAGCAAAATTTCTGCAAGCCAGCCTCCCCTGGAAGCAGGTTTGCAGGTAGCTTGCTCTTAGACCACCAACTGCTTTGTAGGGCAATTCCCTCACCTTGAACTCTGTCCTGAATCTAATCAGCAGCTGGTACAGGTTCCAGCACACGGGTTTGGTACACTCCCATCTAGAGATTCCAATTTAAGAAGTGAACACCAGTGTTCTGCAGTAGCTGAAAGCCAGGTCTATGCTAGAAAGTTTGCTCATGTAACTATGAGTAAATTCTCCTTGTGGATATGCGGCTTTTACTGGCAAAAAGGTACTTTTGTCAATCTGGTGTATGCTGGTTCTCCTAATGCAATAAGCTACTCCATAAAAGCACTTTTTAATTATATAAACTGCGTGCCAGTAGGGCTTTTCCTAGGCCAGCTACATTAGTTAAGGGTGTGGTTTCTTTTCCGCACTCTTAAAGGACATGGCCATGTTGGTAAAATGTTAATTACACCTTAGATCCAGTCAGGGACTGAACTGGTCTATACTTTAATCTGAGGTGGAGCATGCTGCAGCAATCAAGTCTCTCAAATATTTTACTGGTGGAGGTAGTGTGTGCTTTGCCACCAGCTAAGAAGAGCTGATTCAGGGTTATGGGAGTAAAACTTACCACCTGACATGTGGGAATCTGAGAGCTGACCAACCAACATGAGAACAATGGACATTTATAGAGGCAGTTTAGGTTTAGTGTGTGGACTAGATGTATGCTGGATATTTATAAAAACAAATGAATCCCAGGAGAATTCTCAAAAGTAGCTATATGACAACAAACTTTTGCCCATAAAATGTTCTAGTGCATGCAAACCCTTAGTAATCCTGTTTTTACAATACTCTTACCATCATAATACAATAATCTTGTCATACAATATTAAAACAAGAATGCAAAATAGTTTATTGTAGCTGACCCAGTAGTCTGTACAGTACTTACCACAGAGTTTACTATGCCCTCTCAGAAACCAGGAATCCAATGTCCCAGCCATTGGAGGCGTGGCATTACATAAGGCATATCCACATTTCTGTGATTTTCTTACTTGTTCTCAACACACTACCTGATTATCTCTGGGAGAGTTTAAACTCTAAAACATGGCGAGGAGGAGAGTATATGAGCAAATACTCATGAAGGGCTAAACATTAATCTGGGCTACAGTCTAACTCTCCTTTGAGAATAAAAGATGGGAAATGAAAGAAGAAACTGATACTTCTGTTTCATTTGCAATCTACGGAAAATAAATTACTCCAAATTTTGAAAAGTTAATTGGAAAAGAGTTTTCCTGAAAACAGGTAACTAGCTACAGTATAACCAGGTACAGCACAATCATCTATATAAAAATTTACCCACCCTCCTTTGTAAAGGTCCCTAAAATTGTGATATGAAGCGATCCTGTAACTCCAACTGGCTTTTCTGCGCAGACATCAGAAAGTGTGTTTATTGGGAACATTCCATGTAACTTCATTTTTGGCTATGTGGATTAAGTTTTTCTACTAAACATGAATCTATTCTGATTTCTATATGTTAGTAGAAACAAAAGCACTGTAACAGCACATTTTCAGAATCTTCCTCCATTGTTTAGTTAAAAAAAAAAAACTTGTAAGACACTGCTGTACATAGAATATATACCACTCAACTCAAACTGAAGACTTTTTAAAAGATCCATGTGCCAAAAATAAATAGTTCATCTACTAAGATTTATATACAAATTAATTTCCTTCCTTTCTCATCTGCAGCCCTCCCCCCCTTTGTACCTGCAGACTGTTCCTCTTCCTCATGGCCTTGTATCAAAAGCCAAACCCTGAAACTCTTCACTGGTATTTCTTTACTGTTATTATATATCCCGCAGGCTGAAATCTTACAAACTAAATAAAAGCAAAGAATTCCCACTGATGCAGAGTTTAAAACTAGGTTTATCATTTCCTATTTTATTGGCATGAATGTATTTCTAAACTTAAAAACCCTTCTGGTAAGTTCTCAATTTCTTATGACAAAATTTCTCACAACACACAAATATTTACAACATATACATATTTTTTCAGTCCTTTACACCGGATCTCAAAAAGACAAACATTTTTATAGGTTACCACAGAACAAAAGCTGTGACTTAGGTTTTTTAATTTCATAAAACTATCATAAGTTAAAGTGAATAGATTTCTTTAAATTCCTTGTAGCATTTTACAAGTGCAACAGAAAACTATGAAGAACCAATTTAGGATAGCTGCAGTTCATTGGATAATTGTTGCCTGTTGAAATCACATTGTTTCACAGCAAATTCTTGAAAAAATAAGCACCAATCATTCTTGCAAAGAACAGTTTTATCTAAAAGTATTGAAAAGTGTTAAATACAAGGTGTTTAATTTACATAACAAGCAATAAATACACCATATCCGAACTTGTATTCTGCATACTGCTACCCTTGTACATATAATGTACTAAAAAGTCAGCAAACTGTTAACACCTTTTTATTTCTTTTTTTTTCTTATTTTTTTCTTTTTTTCTTTTTTTAAAGAAATCAATTTGACTTCCAACCAACGGTTTGCTACTATAACAAAGGCCACAAACAGTACGTCTGGGACAGCATACAGTGTTAAAACTGACAAACTTGAAGGGGGAAAAACATCTAGCAAATAAATTGTAAAGCCGTAGATCATTGCTGGTGATATTAACATATACTAGAAAACTGTAATATGCTGCTACTATGATTTTTTTTTAAATTATTGTTTAGTCAGATATTTTTTAAGAGCAAACTAATGCTCTTACAGGATAAAAATAATTGTGGAGCCACATTATTGTGTTCATTGTCCTGCATGAGAAGTTTTGATGTCATTTTATAATTTTGCTGGAGCCTTTATTTTACAACAGAGCATTACCTCTTACTCTAACTCAGAATTGCACATAAGGAGGCTATTAAAAAGTACAATAAAAATCTGCACAAATCAGACTTAAGAATCAGTATGCTGTACACTTTCTACAATATTATGTTGATAAGTGAATAAACAATAAAGAAGTGCTGTTACTAAAATTTTCAGAAAGTTCTTCAGTTGAGGAATAATTGAATGGAATTCTTTTTGTTTAAAAATGGACATCCTGGTCAGTTTAAGACCTATAAGCTTATGCATTGAGCCTCAAAGACTGATCTTCTCTTCTTCTGGAGGAAATGTCAATGTCTATTGAATCCTTTCCAACTATTAGCCTTAATCGCTTAGCTGGAGGAAGAGGAATAAAATCATCTTCAAATTCATCATCATAGTCATCTGCAGTTTCTTCCTCATACTGACTGTAATCATCCACTTCCATTCTTGACTCCAAGAGAGAGAGAGTATCACTACAGCACATGCCATTTTCATGAAGGTCCTCAGAGTATGTCCCTCTGTTTTCTTCCTCTCGTTTTAGTTGTATCTTTAATTTTGTTGAACTGTTGCCTGATCCTGAGTTAAATCCATTATTTAGCTTTGCTACATACAAGTTATTGTCTTTTTCATGGTCTTTACTTAATTTGATGCTTATTTTCGAAGAATTTATTCCATCATTTTCTTGGTCATTTGCCTTACTGCTGCTATCATGACGCCTACGCAGAGTCAGTTTGGGAATCCCAGAACTATTTTCAAGGATTAATTGTGCATCATACCTAGTGATTCGTCTTTTCTTTTTACTTTTAGCAGTTCTAAAGCTGTCCTTTGCTTTGAAATTGTCAGATGTAACAATGGAACAGCCACCAGACATAGGAATACTGTCCTTATATCCAAGGGCTGTATCCACTGCATTACTTCTCTCTCCATGTTCAGAATGAGAGTTAATCAAATTTGGTACTTCATCTTTGCCAGATGGATTATGTGTAGGATCAGCTTCTTCTATATTTGCAGATGATTTTGCCAGTTTTCCCTGTCGTGATTTCTTTCTGGATATGCCCACATCATTCTTCTGGTATCTAACGTCCCCTTTATGTGATGTTCCATGAATCAGTTCATTTTCACGTATCACACTAGACGGCTGTTGTAAGATATCAGATCGAGTTCCGGTCAAGTTGTTTCTATAGGTATCCAACATATTTGGTTCAAGCTTTATGTCAGAGGTCTCCTTCAAATTCATTCTTGTTCTCATTGACCTCCTGGTTATGTATGTGCAGGGTGACATTTCACCATGCTCATAAGCACCTTTCACAGAATTCAGTTTATATTCTCTTGCTGCATGTCTTGTTAAGCATCCACCAGAGACTGCAACTTTAGCTGGTCCCTCTATTTCTTTATCCTTTTTAATAGGTAAATTTTTATATAGAACTACTTTAGGTTCTCTGAGAACTAAATTTCCCATTTCAAGCTTTCTAGAGGGATTCTTTTGCTCTAGCCTTTTGCACTGATTTCTCAATTTTATCTTTGAAAGTAAAGGCTTTGCAGGCTTTTTCAGTCTCTTTGGTACCCTGGAATTATTTATATGAGTTAGTTTAGATGAGGTAGAATTTGATGAAGCTGGAATTCTTGACATAGACTGTCTTGTTAATGCTCTACTCTTGCTGTTCTTTTTTACACCAATTGAAGATTTTCTGTTAGCTACAAAATAAAAGTTTAAAAAATAATTAAGACAAGTTAATTATCTGGTCTTCTGCTAGTATTGTTTAACTTTTAACTTAAGTGTGGATATAAGATTTTCAAAAATCAGATTTAAGTCATTATAAGAGTTTTCAAGTAGAAAAAAATAGTGACTCAGGCCCAAAGGTACTGCCTTATATAGTTACCAAAATACATTAAATTATAAATTCCAGTGAATTTGCACCAAAAGTGTTTATTTGTATTGAGTTTCTTGATAGCTTTATAGAAATTACCTTTGCACATCACTATTAGTTCTTGCTGTACATTCTTCAGGCACAGGAGAAGCTCAAAGCTCTTTGTGCACCCCGCCCCTTTTTGCTAGGAAGCTCAAATGACCACCTTTTCTTTTAATGGTTTTGGCTTGTATTGCCTTCTCAGGTGACACAGTATCGGTGTCCTATACTTGGGTGACCATGAAGGGATCTACCCAAAAGACATTTCAAAAGCACTATATTTAAAACATACTCTAAGATAGCAGACACCACTGTTTTTTGGACTCTGCGTATTCCCTGCCTTTTCTTTGTACTCTGACTTTCATAACAGAGAACAATTTAAGGACGTTAAAACAGGAACAGTGCTGCTATGACACTCCAGTAGCAAGTGGGAGCAAAATGGAATTGAAACGCTTTTAAAAGCAATCTGATGTCCGCTTATCAGTCAAGTCAAACTATTTAGCAATTTAGGTCTCACTTTGAAAATAAAAAGGTAGATATGACCACTTGCAGTTATATGAAGAGAATTTTCTAGTACTTCACTGAATAAAAAAATCTCTCAATTTCTTTTAAGATTAGCAGCTGTCTGCATTTACTTCAGACTAAAAATTGTATTAACCAGTCCCATTGCTGATGAGCAATAACACTCGTTGCTAATTCTAGAATAAGATTGATTCATATCTTCAGAATCAGAAACTGTCTAAAGAAAAATGATGGCCAGTCTACATAACACAGACTCACATTATCTATTAATTTGAACACCATTTTTCTTGTAAAACAATGTGTGAACATGTAATTCTATGGGAAAGTTAGTGATAGCAAGGTAAGGAAGATGAAATTTGATTAAAAAAAAATCTAGTGTCCTAATTTCAATGGTATCACACTCTGCAGCATTGCTGGGAGGATTCACTGTTGCCTGGCTCCCAGCTCAATATCCTCCAGTTGGTGGAAATTTTGATAATACAATGGCATCAAAAATGGGTTGATTTGGTTATAATTCGAAAGCACTTTCTCCTGTGAGCACAATGGTACCAAAGAGGAGATATCTAGAACAATTATGTCCTTCATATTATGTAGCTGCATAGAAGAGGAAAAGTTTAAAAACAACCTTTTTAAAGAATGTACATCAATATAATCACATCAAGTATGCTGGACTCACAAAATTACATTGTGGCCCTTGACTGACCAATGTGTTATCAGTTAATGCTCAGAACAGAACTGGTTACTTATTAAAAAAAATGTTACAGATTCTGATAAAGGAAAATATGCTTTAAATTGATTTGCATCATCAAAAAAAGAAGTGGTGCAATGATACTGATAGTCAACTTTATTATGCCAAAAGACTTGCAATGAGGCGTTGGTTAAAGCATCAGTATCCAGCCACAAATTACTGGAATCCATCTGCAAATGGTATGCACGTAATTACGTAACACATTAGATAACAAGTTTACTCCTAAATCATTTTTGCTTTGATTTCTAAAAAGGATCAAGACCAATGAGGAGACCAAGAGTACAACTAGTAGCTGAACTTCTGAAGAATATCATCATGAAAGACCATAATGCTCGGTGGCATCTTCCATGCAATCAGGAGTACATTCATCAACTGAATTTGGCAAGGTTGGAGAGGAAGTACCTCAAGGACCAGAAAATGATGAAAATGCCTGGAAAAGTGCTGCTAAAGACAAGACTTGCCTTTACTAGGCCCCATGATATCGGTTTCAAGAAGTACACTTGATTCTTTTCTCCAGAAAGTCAGATCCCAAAGGCATCCAGCAAGAACAGTTTCAACACAAAAAACTGTACGAAGCAGTCACTCATAACATTGCATGGGAAGTGGGTGCACTGTCCCAAAGAGAGACCATGCATACAACACTGCATAATCACACTGAGTTCCACGCCAATGCATTATACCAAAAGCAGCAGAAACACTTGATGATTTTAATCCTACAAATTATGGAAGTCAGATGGGAGTTCACAACTTGTTTTGTACAGCAATGGTAGGAAAGTGGTGGTAATGGTTGATGCAGTGTTCACTTTATATTTTTATTACAAATATTTGCATGGTAAAAGTAGTAGTTTTCAATTGACCTCATACAAGTACTGTAGTGCACTCTTTATTGTTAAAGTGCAATTTACAAATGTAGATTTTTTTTTTTTTTTTTTAACATCTAAATGCTCTTTCCCAGTTTTTTCCTGACAACATGAAAATGCCATCAAATTTGAAACAAAACATTAAGTATGTCTGGGATGACTTCCAGGGTAAATAAGCACCATCTAGACTCCTTAGGTGATGTTAAATGCCAAAAAGGGGCAATTTTAAAGCTATAGGATGGACTTACACTGGCAACCCATTCACGTATGATGAACTGGAGCTCATTAATATCATGATGAAAGCAGTCTTCAGTGATGAGATATCAGCAGGATACTGATGAATAAGAATCACTGGGAAAAGTACAAGTTCTTTGGCGTACCACAATGAACATTCAAATGTGATGGAAGATGTACGTTCCAGATGACAGTATCACATGGTCTTCCAAGTAAGCACCTACTGACATGACCAGTACCTTATGAGAGAGGCACCTTCTGGGGTTGCAAACAGATGGTAAAGTTGAGGTACAAACCCTTGACAAACCAGAAATCATCAATACTGGCCATGATTTGGCTGAACACTTCACTAGGAGGCTAAAGAAAATACTGGATCTATGACAAAGTCCACCTAATATCTGACAGGTATGTAGAGGAATATTTTTTTTTTGTTAAAACACATTACCACAAAGGAGATTCCCTGATATTGCACCTATCCAATAAAGAATCACTGATACCATGAGTATCTCCAATGTCACAATGAAGAAGCCCATACATAAAAGTAGGAGTTAACTACATAACTTCCAGGAAAAGTGCTGCAGAATGCAAAGAATTATTCAAAGAATTTCTTGTCACTTGACATAATGAAGCTGCTGCCTTGCACTGTTCAGTGGAGTTTCTCTGTAGTGTCCATGAGAAGACAGACACTAGAATTATCTTGTATGCCATCAATGCCAGAGAAATGCTACAAAATTCGAGATTCCTGCACAAGTCTGATGCTCTAATATTCTCTGAAACAGTACTCAACACTTGTTGAGTGATCCTGTTTCTGCACCTGCTGTTGGGGAACATAATCACTGTATGCCCCATAGAGATGTGTTCCGATCACTCAGCCCATTGAAAGCCACCATGCTGCCAGGTTTTCACTGTGTTTCAAGATGTGACACTAATGGAAAGGCATTTGACTCAGCCTTCAAGGACTCGCTCCTCCCTCTGAAATAATTCAAAATGGCTGGGAAAGTCGTGGATGAGGTGCTAAGTGCACTGAAAGTGTTCATGTATTGAGTTTACCACTTGAAGAGCCATATTGGTGATGTTTTCCACAAAGCAGACAAATGGAGAAAAATGGCCACCGAGAAGGGGTGCATTTATACCAGCTAACAGGAAGGCAAAACATCAAGAAATAAGATGATCAAACCTATCCAAAACTGCCCCACCCTATTGGGCATGGATGAATTTCGAAGGATGGATTGAACTCAGGAACTGTGTGTTGTAAAATACCACATGCTCCCAAGTCAATCATTCAGCTAGTCAAGTGCTTGCATGCAAAGACCAGATGCTCAACAATCTGTAAATGTTTGATAGCAACCTGCCTTGTACAGAGGTGTGCGAAAGAAGCATGGGTGAGGATCAGTGTGATGGGTCTAGCAGTGGTGCCCTAGTCAAGAGATGACACTCATGGAGGTTTCTGATGAATACATGATTTCAGTTCAACATATCACGACTAGCTTCCCTATAGTGATCACAGACCAATGCATTCCTGTGTAAAAGTGTAATTAAAAAAAAAAAAAAAAAAAGATTTTTGCAAATATCTACATTATTGTTCGAGGTTTGTCATTTTTGGTACTGTTGTGTTTGTGAAAAGAAGGACTTCTGAATGATACCCAACGTGACCCATTTCCAATGACAATATTATCACATTTACATTAACTGCGAGGACTTAGGAGTTGGGGATGAAATTGATGTGGAACAAGTCCCTGCTGCAGAAAGTGACACCACTGAAATTATAATTCTGTAGATTTTTACAAATCATATCCTTCCCTTACCATTCTTCACTAACTTGCCCATCAAATGAGATTTTACTATATTATGCTTAGAATACTCAATCCCGTCTTGAGTGCAAGAGACTAGTCTGGAAGACATCTCAAGGCCCCTTCCAGTTTTATAATTCTATGCTTCCAAACAAATAATGTGGGTTTCGTTATCCACTTGAACTGCTCTTACTCATGATCACTCATATTTCCTGAATTTTACTACCATCTGTACTATTTTGAAACTCAGTAAATACATCCAGGCCCATTAAGACATTTTGTACTCTGGTGTGCTTTGAATCAGGAGACAGAGAAAATTCTGGATACAAATAGAATCTTTAGTTTATTTCACTGGTTCAGTTTGTCTTCATTTTTGAAACTTTCAGGGAAAACTTGACTTATTGGGTAAATTTTTACCATGCTCTTGAACAAAATTATACAGTGAAAAGCCTGTATGTTATTGTGTTTCATCAACATAAGACAGGAAACCCACTGAAGTGAAAGTTTTCTATTATAAAAACAAAGACTTTTTATAAAAGTTTCCCCTTTGCTTACTTGCATTAGCTTTTTCCTGAGTGGTATCTGCATCAGTGTTAGAGCTGACAGACTGGCTGTCTGAGTTTTTGCTGCTGTCACCCAACTTTTTAAGCCTGTTTAAACGTTTATCTGTTTCTCTCAGTCCATATTTGCTATTGATCACAGGAGTAGGTGCTGGAAGTCCCACTCTTGATTTAAAAGCACCAGTTCCACGTCTATAAAACAGAATAATATATATTAACATCTCAATATAGTAGTAAGGCTCTGTTTGATGGCATATAACACTTAAATCCCAGGTATATTTAGGGAAGGTAAGCTGATGCAACAGTTTCCAGTTTTTTGGTATTTAGTGGGCTATTTTACTACTGATATTGTAAAGAATTTGTATGCATATTTCACTTGCAATTAGGGATGAAAAGAAACTGGCATTAATTACTGAAAGAATAGATACTTGTCTCTTGCATTTCCTTTTAAAAAGAGATTGTCTAGTAAAACCTGTTTCAGTACCATTTACAAAATCCCACTTATATAAAATGAAGAGTACAAAAGTTCAAACAGTATTTGCTATTAATTCTGTTATGAATATTTCAATGAGAATTAACAATTTTCCCCTTAATATATGCCTTATGAAAAAAAATGAACACTATAATTGTAGCATGTGTTATTTTCAAAGGCTATGTCTAGACTGCAAGCCTCTTTCGAAAGAGGCTTTTTCGAAAGAGATTGTCTAGACTGCATGCAGAACTTTGGAAAAAGCAAGCTGCTTTTTCGAAAGAAAGCAGCAAGTGAGTCTGGATGCTCTCTTTCTAAAAAGCCCTGTTTGCTTTCAAGAACGCCTTTTTTCAAAAGAGCACTTTCGAAAAAAGGCGTTCTTCCTCGTGCAATGAGGTTTACCGCCGTCGAAAGAAAAGCCGCGTTCTTTCGATTTAATTTCGAAAGAACGCGGCTGCAGTCTAGACGCAGGTGAAGTTTTTTCGAAAAAAGGCTACTTTTTTCGAAAAAACCCCTGAGTCTGGACACAGCCAAAGTGTTATCAGGAACAGTTACTAACTGTTTTGTTTTTTGTAATTACAACCGTCTCCTCTCTTTCACTTGCATCTTTCTTCCCCCTCTGGATAGATAAAAACCTCAGTTGATTTGTTCATCAAAGCTTTACTGTTGGCCAAAAAGATAAATTGTCCCAGGAGACCTGGAAGGGGATGGAGATTTACCAGAGCCTTCAAGCTTCCTACTTTAGGTCTCCTGATACCATCTGTCCATGTAGCAGACTTCCATTTGTATCCTTTAGTGATTAGAGGGGCTGCGTTTCAGAGTTTGAATCCCCAAGTGAGGTTGTCTTCTATGTAATAATTGTAACTACCCACAATAATTAAGGGTACAAGAGACAAATGAGGTGAGACATAAACCTTGGTCTTTCATGCATTGTTGTGCTCAATAGGCCAATCCATTACTTCTTTCTTAAATAAACTGGTGCTACTTTGACAGGGAATATTCAGTGCCCTATTAAATTCAGCAAATCAGAGACTCTTTGAGCAATTAGGGTTCACAGAGAAGAAAGGGAGGGAAGTGTCAGGTGCTCTGTCCTATAGTGGAACTTTGCCTGCTTTGCATTTAGATCCTACTTCTCTGGCTATCTACTATGGGAAGAAAGAAGGAGTTTGAGCAAAGTCTGTTTCCATTCTCCACTTATTTGCTCACATACACATACATGTGATTGTGCTCTCCTGTATACTAGGGATGTTATATTTAGATTAATCAACTATTCGATTAGTCAATAAGGATTAGCACAGTGTTCTGCCTTTGAAATGTACAAGAGCCCCAACAGGGGCTCTTGTGCATTTCAAAGAGTGAAATGCTGCGTGGAGCCTGGGCCCAACAGGAGTCCTGCTGATCCTGAGCTCCAAGCGGGCGCTTCCACTTTGAAATGTACAGTGGGGACTCTTGTACATTTCAAAGTTGGAACACCGCTACTGCGCCCCTTCCCTCTTTCATGGAGCTGAAGGAAACTGGCTTTTAAGCTAGCTCCCTACCAGTGCTCCCTCTTGCTGCCTCTGTGATAGGGGGGGGAGAAGACTAGTCGATTAGTGTCAACTATCTGATAAGCTTTTGCTTATCGGACAGTCGACTGGTCAATTTGTCACTTACATCCCTATTGTATACACACAAAATGTGCACGTCGTGTACAAGTTTACACACAAAAATTGTATAGCTTACAACGATCATCTCATTTTCCCAACAGTGTACCCAAAAAGAGCTTTTAAGAGATACGTCTGCATGGCACATGCAGTCTGAAAGGCAATTTGTGCAGATGTACTTGTGATAGCTGTACTCTAACTAGCTCTCTGAAAAAACCCAGAGAGAATGCAGACGCATGGGATCATCATCAGCTGAGTGTTGGGTGAGCTGCTGCAGCCTATGCCATGGTATCTCCACATCTATTTTAAGTGACCTACAGTACAGCTAATGCAGTTATGTCTACACACACTGCCATTCAAATTCAATACAGATCCATGCCCCCCATCAAAATATTGGTGTGTCTCTATGTGCAGAATTCATTTTTAAATGGAAATTGTTAAATGGAAATTGTTAGGCAAGACAACAAGAAGGTAGATCTCTTGAAATTCTCTAGCTCAGCGTTTCTCAAAGTGGTATTGCGGACCACTCTGAGAAATGCTGCTCTAGATGGATGCACTAAAGAAGGTGAACAGAGATACTCTGGATAAAATAAAAACGCAGCCAAAATTGCCTCTGTTAGTATGAAATGAGCCTGTGTAAACCGTAGGAGCATCACATCCGATGTCTGTTTAAACATACATAAGTTCTAACAGACTGTCAAAGGTAATACTCCCATTCTCATAAAAAAAAAACAAAAAACCAAGGTGTTCCCAACCGAGTACACACACAGTAATTCACAGCAGAATTGTGAGGATTCTCACAGTATCACATGGTTGGGAGGTTGCTAATGCTCTTTATCTGTCCAACACTAGTATATTAAGTCTGCACTTTGTTCTTTTTTCTGAGGAGTGGGGTAGAACGGAGGTATGTAGAAATCTGGAAAATATGTTCATTGTTTTCACAATGAAAACATTACAAAGATAACACTTTAAGAATATAACTTGGTTATACTATGCTATTCAAGAGATGTAAATACTTGTTCTTCAGTTTCACAACATGCATGTTATGTTGGCTCCCAGCATGCCTTCTTATACCTTACTGTTTACATTGTCAGTTATATACCTTTCACAGGTGTAACATTCGCAGTATTCATTGTTTTCTCCAAAAAAACCATCCCCATAGTAACAAGAAATTTCTTCACCGGGTTCAATATCCCTTAGAGCTTTCACACATGCCGTATCTCGACCAGTTGATACAAACTGAAAGTAAAGAGTAATCACTAAGATTAATTTGAGTGTTTGGATACAAAATAAATATACTTTTCCCCCCCCCCCAAGTGTTATGCTTACCTTACAGTTAGGTCTGCAATCTGAAAAAGGTCCAAAAGATAAAGTCAATTAACTGTTGATAAGACCTGAAACATGAATAGTTGTAGATATCTAAAGTAAGGTTTTGCTCTGACATCTGCTAGAATCTCAACTAAATACTTGAGGGTATGTTATTAAATAAGAATGATTTATATACAGGTGGACACCTTAAACAGCTTTTATGCTCTTTACCTTAGGAAGACTGAGAAAACTCCCCTGAGAAACGCACATCTCTTATATGTCTGTGCCCAACTCTGAAAAGATTTTGTCTACACTGCTATGCAGTATGGATTTAGGGACAGTTGAGATCTGCTATTAAGCAGATTCATCAGCCATTCCCCTGTATGTATGCTTGGAAGAAGCAGGGGAGAAGGAAACAAAGACAACTCTTCCCATAGCTTCCAATTAATTTTCCAGTCCACAGCTAAGCTGTTAACCAGGATTTAGGCCTTAAATTAGTAAACTATTCCAGATTCTGTTAATTATATTTCAGATACATAATTCAGAGTGAATCCAAGTAGCAAACTTTGAGGCTGTACGGCATAGCTTGCACATGGGAACATTTAAACAGAGTAACTTTTGTTCTCTTATACTTCCTATACTTGTTGCTTACCGTGGTTGATAAATGCAGCAGGACCAAGCCATAGCTGAGCACAGTTCTTCCTTGTGGAATACATGACACTGAAGTCATTCTCTCCATGTCTCAGCAGCATGTTCTCTTCTATTTCTGACAGTTCAGCAATACAACCCACCAGTAATTCTATTTTGTCATTTCGTTTCCTAAGTTTTAAAATATTAAAGATACAAGTTCCAAGAATTACAAAACAAGTTAATAAAAACCATTCCAAAAATCTTTTTATCACAAAAATAGTTTTAAAACAATAGAATTTTTTAAAAAAACTGTTTAATGTCTTCAACAAAATACATGGACAACACTAGTTAATTCTTACACTTTTACACATTAATAATGTCAGTTAACACAAGAAAATTGGAGACTTGGAACTCAAGTCCTAGCAATTAAATCAGAAAAAAGTTTAAGTCTTTTGTTAATATATTTGTAATGTATACATATACTTTCAGCAAATGTGGATCTTAAACTATTATCTGTATTTAATTTAAAAACATTTGTGTTTACATCTATAATGCTCAATCCTAAACATTTTTAAGGTGGTGTTTTTCTTTGCTAAATTGGGATGGATTACTCAGGTGCTTAAAACACAGGATATGTGTAATTGCTTTGTTGAGTAATATAATACATATATTTTAGGAATAAAAATGTTGTACATACTTATGCTTTACCAACAGAAAACCAGAAGTGATAGAAGTGGGGGGTAGCAACAGAGTACTGTAAAAAACGTTCTGGGGTTAAAGTAATCATCCAGTTCATTTTCCACAGTATTTTCCTCCATATTCTTTTTGGTGTAACCTTCACCTAGAAGCATCAGCATGCCACTTGTCTTTTTCTCTGGTGCTGGCTCTATTGGCTGATTTGGCTCAGCATGTATTAGTTCAGCCCCAACACTTGTAGGTTCTTTTGTTTCCAGTCGTGATGCAAGTTCAAGAAGCTTTGTCTTGGCAGCATCCTGGACAGCAGATGAAAGAAACCGCATGTGCTTATGGCATAGGAGGCAATAAATGCCAGTTTGGCAGTTATATCAGGGTCACTGGGTATCATGCGATACTCCAGAGAGGTACTAATATCATTTTTGAAGGTACTGACAATTTTATTCTCAGCAGAAGCTTCATTTTTAGGGGAGCATGGAGAAGACAGTTGCAAATTGAGTAAATATTTGCACCTGACTGACTGTTCAGCAGACATTACAATTGTGGTGCACTTTAAAGTGGAAAGCAGGGGTAACAGATCCGCTATTAATTTTCATTGCTCAGCTGAAGGGAGCAGGCATTATTTTGTCTTGTTACAGTGCTATCAGAAAGCACAGCTATTACTGCCCACCTTTGTTCAGCGCATCTTTCAAACATGTCAGATTGAATTCCAGCGAGTTTTACATGATCAGATCAGATGAGGTTTCTGAACTTGAAGCTGAATTTGTTTTCTTTCTAGCGCTTTGATGGCCATGGTGCTGTGGTGGAAGTGCCTAAAACTAGTTGACTCACTGTGACAATTGTTTTCTGAATTTGTTTCCCAGAGAAGCCATCGTTTATGGCTAGGTGCAAGGTATGGGCAAAGCAACTGACTGATTTGTGTGTAACAAACCTTAACAAGTTAGTGCACACAATATCGCTTGCATTGTCATGGCCTACCAGTCCTCATCTTTCAACATGTAATTTTTGAGCAAAGTTTTCTGCTGTATGTTTGACTGGGAGACTGTCAGTTTGTAGAACAGTGGATCACAGCTCCCTATTTTCGATATAATGGCAAGTGACAGTAATATAGCTCAGTAGTTAATGCAGTCCAGCTGTTAATGGTTAAAGCTACTGTCCAATTTTTCAGAGAGACTTCACACAGGCTTCATAGCACTGTTCTAATCGCAAGGTCATTGTTGGTCTTGCAGGCACATGGTACTCAGGTTCCTCAAAGTTCATCAGCGCACAGAAACCAGCACCCTCAACAAAACTTATAGGAAGTGATCATGGTGCACAACAATTCCATCAGTTGTTGCTCACAGTGTGCATTGCATCTTTTTTAAGAACTGCCAGAAACACATGTTGTCAAAGTTGTTTGCTGTGTGCTGTCTGGCTAGCATGAAACTGTTGGATGTTTCAGCCGCAAATGGTTGCTCATGGCTATCGTACTCCTTAGATACTTAAATGTAGACTGTGTTCTGCAGGGTTTAACAGTGTCTGCACTTGGCTGTGTGAAATAATTCCAGGCAGCACTCCTTTTTGATTGCTCCATCTTAACTATTCAGTAGCTGTCACCAACAGTAAAATAAAATGAAATCTTCAATACTGTTTCAACTGTGCAGCTGGCAGTGTCACAAAGTGGTGGGACACCAACCAAAGTTTGTTGTATTTTGCCCAAGAAAACAAGGACAGGTGGTAGCTACTTGAAGATGGCTACCAAAATGTGAGGGTGGAGGAAGACTTTGGGGAGAGGGTGGCAACAAAGACGTGGTATGAAGGCAACTGAAAGGACACCAGCAAAGTGTCTGGGAGGGAGGATTACTTAGAGTGAAACAAAGATATGTGATAGGAGAGATCAGAACACTCCAGTGCGAGGGACCAGGAGTGTTTGCGGAAGATTAGGTTAATGAGGACGAAGCAAAGCCCAAGTAAGGGAAAGCACCCAACACCAAGAATGCTGAAATGAATGGCAGGGAGTAACACAGAAGCCCCAGATACCACCAATAGCCAGGACACTGAGCAAGCCAGGAGGCTATGGTTGACAGGCAATAAAAATCCTGCAGGGGTCAGGCTGCTACAGGTAGGCAAGTGGGGACAGACCCAGCACCTTTACACACCGTCATCCCTGGACTGTACAATGCAGAGTGGCCGCTGGGGAGTGTGTCTGTGTTGTGCTGAATGATAGGAGACCCATGGAGTGGGGACCTACCTAGCATTTTTGTGCACTGGCTTTCCTGGGCTGTACATTGCAGAGTGGCAGGTGGGGGAAATGAGATTAGTCGATAGTGCTAATGGATAATCTCCTGCTTATCAGTTAGTTCACTAGTTGCTAACATCCCTACTTTGGAGTGGACAATTCCAGATGGTCTTCCAACCAGATTCTGTTGATCCAAATAAAAACTAGAAATAAAATCTCTGAATCTGAGAAGCCACTCAACACAGACAATGCTAGAACACCCCAAATTTGTGATGCGTCCAAAGATCTTCTCCAACCATCACATGGGTTTGAGTTAGTTCTGCCTTTGCAGGTTTGGTCAATACCTGTAATGGTGGAGTGCTAAAAGATTTTTTTTTTTAATTAAACCAAAAACCTACAACAGAAAACCTGGACTATCCAACTCAATCAAAAATACTCTTAAACCTTGGTAATATGTCAACCTTGGAAAATAGGCTATGATGGATTATGGAAGTGTTGTAGACCATGGGTATTTTCTATAATGAAAGGCATGGGATCTAGGCATAAGGTGATTACCAGCATCCTGCTCCCAGGGACAACCATGACTCCACACCCCCTGCTGCTCCCAGGCACCATCTCTGCTTTGGGAGCAGTGGGGGGAAAGCCTCCAGACCAGTGCTTTGCTGTGTTTCCATTTCCTCAGCTGGGGGTAAGGAGAGCAGCAGTGTCTCATCCTCCTCCCTGTGCCAGGATTCATACCATGGCTGATCCCGGATCAGGGACACCCAGATTACAGAGGTTCAAGCGCATCTCCCAAAAGGAGAGTTTGCATGCACAAGGTATGTTTGTCTCAAACTGGAATATGCAGAAAGCATCCATTCCTCAAAGGAGAAACCCATTTTTCCAACTGAAAAAGAAAAAAAAAAAAAAAAAAAAATCTCCCCTCCCCCCGACAAGTACATCAAATCTGGCTCAACCAGTATTATTGGATTTTAACAGGAATGTGCAAATCATTATTTCCCCCACTGTTGTGTCTTTGCCCCAAATTCTGTGCAAAGTGGGCCAAGTGAGGTGTCTAGTGAAAACTTATACTATGTGGATTCTGTTTGCGCTACTCATATACATGTATTAATGTTGTACATAAAGTTATGAATATGGGTTCTGTACTTGTATAATAACTGTTTTCTATCTGGGAGATAGCAGCAAGTGTCTATCACTCATTGGAGGGGTGTTTACTCAGTGGATAGCTATGCTGCATGGACACTGGCTCTTAAGCGTTGCCAACAAACACCAAAGAAATTCTGATGCAAACCTGTAGATCAGATAGATACCCCATGGCTGTTTGCCTAGAAAGGACATGGACAGGTTAGTTGATCATGTGATCTTCTCCATTTTGGGAGGTACCACCACTCAGGAGAACAATGGATTTCCCCACACATGAGCAAGATTATAGAAGCCTGGTGGTGCCTCCATCTTTGTCTTTGCTCCTGACCTTCTCTCCAGAAGCACCTTTGCTAAGGACAGAGTGCCTGCAAGGATTCATTGACCCATCCTAACATAGGATGTACACCAGAGACTTTTAAACTAGCAGTTTATTACATCTCTGCTAAGAACCTGCATCAAGAACTTGGTGACTGATGTATGTAGTGTGCTTTCTTTAACAATCCTACTCTCAACCTTTTATTTCTTTTGATTAATAAACCTTTAGATTTTAGATGTTAAAGGACTGGCACACTGTGTGCTCTTTTGCGTAAACTATGAAGTATAAATTGACCTGGGATTATGGCTGGTCTTTTAGGACCAGGAAAACCTGTTCAGATTTTCTGAGACTGTTTTTCATAACCTTTCACCTCTATAAGGTGTGGTGCTGGTTGTGACAAGTAAAGCTGGAGCGTCGAAGAGGATTGCTTAATGAGACTTCCTGCCGGCCAGAATAGCAGCTAAAAAGTGCTCTCTGTGACTGGTTTGGTGCCTTATAGATGAGGATCCCCCGTCTAGGGCTGTAAGTAACCAAGATTCTAAGCAGTTCACCCTGATTTGACCTTCCCAATGGCGTCCCCAGAGATATATTCCAACTCAAATCTTCACATGGACATTCCGCACTGAAGACTTATTTTTTTAAGTTAATCCTATCCTGTCAAAGTTATTTCAAAATTGTGTATAGAACATACAAAACGTTAGGTCTATAAAGTTCACACTGATGTATTACAAGTAAAAGTGGGATTAATTTATTATGTGGTGAATAGTTTAAAGAACTTGCAGGTTATGCAAAATTACTTGTGAACTTAACATTTCCACATTTACTGGTAATTAACTACAACTCTTATTGCATATGCAGATGCTTTTACATTAATTTTTTTTAAATGTGATTATAAACAGAACTTAATTCACAGTTACAATGCTTACCACTCTTTTGTCGCAACAATTTTGGCTCCATTTTGCTCTGAAGAATACCGATTGCAAGGCAATATCTCAAATCCACTGTCAGTTGCAAACATTCGTAAATAAATAAATACCTGAATAGACAAAGAAGACCGAGTACTGCTGTATTAAGTGCACACACAAGTAATCAAGATTTCCATATCTTATGAGTCAACTATGTTCCTTTATAGCATTGGTTGCCTTTAGTTTGTGGATATTCAGGATTATGGATTTTAAAAATCGCACATATCATAGAGAGGTCTGCTTATTTATTTAGACCACCTGAATTTGAAAGCTTTGTAGGTACACATTAATATCCACCATGCCTGTTAGTGTCTAAGTAAATATACAGGGGTACCTCAGGCTGCAACAAAGACAAACTGGGAGGATAAAGTTCAATTTTTTTATTGCATACTTCTTACGGGAGTCAAATATCCTTAGTTCTTAAGAGGACCAAATAGCTATGTTTAGCCTTTGAGAACAGGTTCATTATTTTAAAGCAACAGAGTCCAACTTTTGGTCAGCAGGCCTGATAAAGATTAGGGATGTTCGATAGCATGCAATTGAATAGTCAGGTAACTGCGTAAAACGTTACTGGTTACATGATTTGATAGTCCCCAGGAGTATCCTAGCAGGGCCAGCAGCCAGTGTGCTCCAGTCCCACTCACAGGGAGCCCGCTTCTATCCCGCATTGCTGACTCTCCATCAAAGACAGCAGTGCGGGGTGGCAAGTGGGAGATGGTCCATGAGGGAAGCTGGTTTAAAAACCAGCCCTGTGCAGACAGGCTATGCCAGCCACCCTATGTTGCTGCCTCTGATACAAAGGCAGCAGCGTGGAGCGGCAGCAGCCCCTTTCCACAGGGCACCCAAGCTCACTGCAGACATAGGCTCTCTGTGCGGGACCAGCCTCTATCCGCGAGTAACTCGGACTTGCTATGGACAGGGACTGCTGCTGCAGAGCAGCCTCTGTCTGCGACGGGCACAGACTCAATGCAGACAGGGGCTGCTCCATGGGCTGGAGCCTCCTCCCGCCCCCCCCCCATCTCCGTGCTGCTGCCTCTTGAAAGATGACTCCTTGCTGCTGCCGCCTCTTTATGTGTGAGGCAACAGCACGGAGGTGGGGAGGCAGGCGGATCTGATGCTTGTGGGGAGCTGGCTTAAAATCGGGCTCCCCAAGGGCACCGGCTCCCGCCTCCCCCTGCTGCTCCTTCCTGCCTCTGATACAGAGGAAGCAAGGGGGAGGGGATGCATGTAGTCGACAGGATTAACCAGTAAGCCTAGGCTTATCAGTTAATTGTGTAGTCATCTACATGTTGAGATCCCTAATAGAGATACTACCCACAACAGGAAGACAGGACTAGCTACTGGATCTTTTGACTGTTCTATGGGAGAAGTTCCATTTGTCAGTTATATCCAAAGGAAGCTTGTTCAACTTGACACTCTGGGGAAAAAAAATACTTGTAAACTGGTTTCTCCCATGCTTTATTATTTTTGGCAGATTTTGAGAGCAGGAAGCAATTCTGTCTTTTCTTTGGTTTTAAATGAAATATATTACCCTCTTTCTGGTCATAGCTTCCTCCTCCTTGGGTTTCTTAGTCTCCCTAATCTAGTTTAGTCAATGCTTCAATATCCATCACTTTGAGCTGTCCAATGAGATATGGATAATCAGATTTCTCCAGAGGTGGTAATGGCTTCTTTTTCCAAGAAAGAGCAAAAAAATGGAATGTCTATCCTCTTTAAACGCTGCAATTGGGTTTACAAGAGGACATTAGTGTAGATCCTTCAGAGAATGTGAGAAACGCCAGGAACTCCCAAGATGTTCTTTTCTAGCTTCAGGATAAAAAGGAATCACTGAGACCCAGGGACATGATCTTCCTGGAGTACCCTCTTCAGGGTGAGGACCAGCCCTGATTCTCTGCCTAGACAGGGGAAGGAGAGGGAAGCACATTCTTGCGTCTTTGGAATCTGATTAGCTATGCCCAACTTGGCTATGGGCAAGGCAGGGCGAGGGCTGCATTATCCCATCCTCACTGGATTAATCTGAAATGCTTGAGGAGACTGGTGAGAGGGGTGGGGAAGGAAGTCTGAAAGAATATGAGAGCTGACATGTTTGAGTAGCTCTTGAGGCAGGAGCCTCTGATTGAGGCTGCCAAATTAAGATTTTGCTAACAATCTGTCTCAGAACAGGATACAACTTTAAAACCAAGAACCACTCCCCTCAATTCATGATGAAATAAGAGGGACAATCTTAGAACTTGCCAATGAAAAGCGTCATGTACAACCACATTGGAGGAATTTCTCTCTCCCTTGACAGTCCTCCATAAGAAGCAGGGATGTCTGACTTCAATGGAGAAAAAACAAAAGTGGGGGGCCCTTGACAGAGTCAATTACAAAAGGAGACCATACAAAAGCTTGTTACCTAATGGGTGGTATATCTGTTTACGAGTGATGGCAACAAAAGAAGGCTCATGTACACTTTTATTTCTGGATTACATCTATGAGAGAGTTTTTGTGCATTTTATTTTATTTTTTTTAAGTTGGGTTTTAAATATCTAAAGTAGAAAATATGGAGAGAAAGGTAAGGCTATACAGTGGCTTTATTCTCGTCACCTATCCTTTTTTCACTTGAGGAATATTCAAAATACTCCTCAAAAGGCTTCCAAAACCATGTAAAATACATACTAGTAATCTGAAAGTAATAATAAATACACCTACATGTTCCTTGAACAACCTTTCCTGCATTTTGTTCTTGTTCAGAAAATAGTGCCGGGCCCAGTCACCTGACGTTAAGGACTTGAAGGCTTTTTCTAAGTGCTCATCTTTCTTAAAACGTTCAATGACCTCTTTCAACTCTTCCTGCCTTCCTTTTATAGGTCGAAACCTGAAATAAAAATAAAACCACTCTAAATCTACTATTATTCATCCTTATTCAATCCATTTATACATCTCATTCCATTGCTGGCAAGAAGTTTTGCACTAGGATTATTCAACTCTTAGCATCAAGGGGCTGTTTCATCTAGTCAAGGTTAGGTTCTTCACTCCCAGAGCTTTGTAGCAGCTTAAAAGGCACTTTAACGAATGTTTAATTGTAGAAAATTATAATTTTCTAACTATACAGTAGATCTGGTTGAAGAAATTTAGACCCTGTAATGTAAAAAGATGGGTTATCATTGGTCACTGCTCCCCGAATGACCAAACAGGAAATATGATTTTAATGCTTTCATTCCCTCGCTACCAAATAAAAAAAACTGAATAAAGTCAACCAACCACCATAACCTGCCAATCCCCCAATACTAATATTAGGTGAGCTAGCTAGTGTTTTGCTTTGTTATTGTATACTTCCATCCCTCTTTCTCCATCTTCTGAAAGAAAGAGGATGTGAACTTAAATACGAGAAATACAATCACAGTTAATCTAAAAGCACAAACAGAAGAACACAATTACAGGCAGACCCCGGGTTACATCAATCCGACTTAAGTCGGACCCCTAGTTACGAACGGGGGGGGGGGGGGG